ACCGCCCGGACACCTCCGGGTGCAGAGCGGCAGACCCGGCGGCGCCACCCAAGCCGCAGTTCTGGGCCCAGCTTCCGCCGCGGTTCCGCCGTCGCAGGCAGCTCTGCCGACAACCAAGCCTGCGCCACCCGCAGCCGTACCTGCAGCCGCGTCTAGTGCCATGCCGGATGGTACGACACCGTACACAACTGTAGCCGCAACGGTGATCAAAGCAGGGAAGAAGCTGCCGGAACGTTGCGCAGCTTCGGAGTCCAAGACTCGAAGCGAGCGGCCGCGGCCTAGGATTACGGGTACTGCAGATGCAGGTTGTGACGGCGGCATCGGCGGTTGCGATGGCAATGAGTCGTACAGCACTGCCGTACGGGGCTGGGTGGTAAGCGTTCTGTCGCAGGAGGCTAAGAGGGTTAAGGACGCCCTCAAGACTGCTGGACTGCTGGATAACCGCCGCCGCGGCGGCCTTGAGACGGTGGCGTCGCCGGCGACGGCGACGGCGACGGGGGACGAAGATGATGCTGCACAGCCGCCGCCACAGATGCAGCGCCGTACGGTACGGCGGGTGCTCCTGCCTGTTACCGACGATGCTGCAGCGGTGGCGGCGGCGTTGAGTGTTGCCGAGGGAAGCGGAAGCGGCGAGAGAACGGGAGGGCTTGGTGGTGGTGACGGAGAGACGGCGGTTTCGGAGCTGGCGGCTCTGATGCGCCGGACGGAAGCTCAGGTATGTATGTCTGTAATCATGTTTATATCTAGTGGCCGCAGTCTGGACCGCCTATAGACAGTTTGACACCGATGCCTCTGCGACATTGCGTACGACATGCCGTTACGGCGATACACCTCCCATCGGGATTCTGTATCCCATATTTCTCGTACTGAGATACTCCTCGCACTCTCCCCCTCCCCCTCCCCCTTCTACTTCTTGTACACTCTTTCCTTGGCAGCAGCTTCACTCGCTCGTGGTTCGTCTTTCCCCCTCCCCCTTCTCCCCTCTCCCCTTTTTCTCTCCCCCTCCCCCTCTCCCCTGCCCCGCAGCTGCTGCACACTCGCTGCCTGCCACCCGCCACCAAGGCCGCCGTCACTCCGGCGCGACGCCTCTCCGACGCCATCACAGAGCTACTACGACCCGCAACCGCCACAACTACCACAACCGCCGGTGTCAATTCCTTACCCGCAGCCCTGGTTTCGGAGCTCCTGGCTGACCTGCCCAGCCGTTGGGAGCGGTTGGGTGACCTAGCCCTACTGCCTGGATCCAGTCTGGTGCATCCGGGCTGGCTGACGGCGGTGGGGGCGGCGGCGGGGGCGGCGGCGGCGGCGGACGGC